TAGGCCTCTGGGAGGTAACTGGCAGGAGGCAGTCTCTCAGGTAGCCAGGTCCGATACCATGTAGGGCTTTAAAAGTAACAATTTAACATGATAGCAGTGTTGCAGTATCTCAGGGACTACCATAAATAACGGGTCAAATTACTCTCCAAAGCACCAGAAGGCAAGCAAGAAACGATAGAAATCGATTAAGGAGAGAACCAATCTGGAATTAAAGGGAAATATCCTAACAGTGAGGACAGTTAACCAGTGGACCAGCTTGTCTCCAGAAGTTGTGAGTGCTTCATCACTGGAGGTTTTTAAGAAGAGATTGGACAGGCATCTATCTGAAATAATATAGGCATAGGGTCTGCTACTTGAACAGGAGGCTGGACTAGAAGACCTCCAAGGTACATTCCAGCTCAATTCCATTTAATATTATTAATATTGTACTACTGACCACCTGCACCAGAAAGTCTCCCCATTCCTACATTTGGTGTTTTTTGTCAACTTTACGATGGGTGGACTTCAACTCCCAGAATTCCCCAGCCAGCCAAGTATCTGTCACTCAATAATCAATTAATCAAGTTGGAAGGGTTTGTTGGAAGAAATGTCCTTCTGGGTTCAGTTCCAAGTGGGGGAAAAGACACTGGAAACATGGAGGCTGCTTGAAAAGATTTAATGGACCACATGGCTTGAGATCCTAGGGAAAAAGGTGATCACATGCTTCAAGGTTTTGGGTGAAGAAGAAAAAAAGAGAGAGATGCTGAAAGTTCCTATCTTTATGCCCTTTCTGATCTTGAGCTTGTATTCTGATTGGTTGTCAGACTCCCATGGGGGCCATGCAGGGGCAACTCTATAGGTTGTGCTTTTTGAGTCCAAGTTTGGTTGAGCCTTGCTTCTTCCCAGGTGCCCTGTGGAGAGAAGGGCAAAGGGGTAATACTATCCCGCCTTAATCCCATCACCCTCGAGCTGAAGGGGGAGCTCTTTGTTATGTAGAATAGGCTTTTTTAAATGGTCCATTGACAAAGTTGGGGGCTATTAAGAGTGAGTCTTCCTCCTGCCTAAAAACATGTTTCTCCATTTCTGATCCAGGGAAATATAATATGCCGGCTTCTTAATATTTCCCAGGATATTTCATTTTTCTTGCAGAGGGGTGGGTTTTTAACTTCCTACGGGTCCTTGGAGGTCTTCTAGTCTAACCCTCCTGCTCAAGCAAGAGACCCTCCCTATCCCACTTCAGACAGGTGGCCCTTCCACTCCCATGAGACCCTTTGAAAAAGAGGTGGAGGTGAAGAGGTTACAGTTAGCAGAACCTCCTTGCCCATCTCTCAGAAATGGCGCGGGGTCTCCTGCTTGTGCAGGGAGGGTTGGACTAGATGACCTCGCTTCCATCTCTTGTTATATCTAGTCTTTCCTCCTTCCCCTTTTTTCACCTTTTCAACCCCAGCCCTCCCCGCTTCCTAGAGAGGACAGGAAGTTGCGGCCGGGAGGGCGGGATGTAAACAGTCCCGGTCACTTCCGGCCCCGCCTCCCGTGGGAAAGTGGCCTTTGAATTTCCCAGCTCGTGGGAGGGAGATCGGGGTGAGTGCAAAAGGGCGGCGGGGCGGCGGCGGCGGCGGCGGCGGCGTCTTTCCCCGGACAGGGAGCCCGACTTTTTCCCCTTCTGCCGGGCGGGACTCCCGGGCTTGGATGGCCAGGGCGGGGTGGGAGAGTTCAGATGGAGGAAGTTTGCTCTGCCGGGGAAGAAGGAGAGGAGGCCGAGCTGCTCGCAGCAATCCCGGGAAAGGGGGGAGGGGGGAAGGGAGCCGCCAGTTCCCGCTCTGGTCCGCTTGCAGGCGGCTTAAAAAAATGGGAAAGAGGAAGAAACAAACAAACGGGGGACGCGGGCTGCAGCCTTTCCTGAAATGCAACGATAAGGAGAGTTTGCAAAATAAATAAATTTATTAATTAAAAAAACTAAGAAAAATGGTGGGGGGGGGAAGGGAGGACACCCCCCCCCCAAAAAAAAAGAACATCCGCGCGAAGCGATTTCAGGGGAGGAAGGTGGGAAAGTTGTACCAAAGGCTTCGCTGGGGTTGCAGGCTGCCGATCGTGGCTTGTTTAAAAGGGCTTTCGAAATAAAGTTTTTTATTTTTCATATTTTTTTTATTTTTTTAAATTTTTTATTTTAAACACTTAAACACATCAACAAAAACAAACACATGATGACTTAAAACAACATAGGAACAAGAAGTTCCATCGTATATCATACAGCAGTTCCGTATTGGTTTCTTTACAGTTAGTGTTTTCCCTTCTATACCTTTGTATCTTGCGTTCATGGTCTCCTTATTCGTTATCCATTTTTATGTACAATTCTATATTTATTTATACTTAGCTATTTATAACAAAAT